AAAAGAGAGAGAGAAGCCACATTGGTGAGAAAATAACTGAATTCAATATGCCTGGTCAGGATTGATTACATTACAGACCCTTCTTTGGATTTTGTCAAGAATCTCAAGATATACATCAGGAGCACCAAACTACATATGACAATAGTATTCAATACACAGATGAATAGCAGATTTATAAATCTGCAAGATGGAGGCTGACAAGACATATCTAAGAACTCCTCAGAAAAAGACATAAATGTTAGAATTGCAATGGCAGGAACAATAAAAGTAAATAACTCATCCAGAAGTCAAAAATGAAAGTACAAATTTTTAGGTCAACATTAGAAACAGTCTTCTTGTATAGTCAAGCAGTTGCACATAAACAAAGTCCAATCTTGACTAGATTCATAGTAAGTCAGTTAAGTACCATGCGTGATATATGCTTGAGTGATCATGTATCTTTCAATACATGACTGACAAGGCAGAGTTTTTCCCCACAGTAGGTTACCATTTCTTTTTGAGTAGATTGGTTGCCAACCAAGGCTAAAGAACCTAGTCTGCCTGCTATTCAACCCATAGCTGGTGGGGGGAAAAGAGATGGTTTCATACCTTTCCCAAGTGTATTTGTGTGTAAGTGAATCTAACTCAATTAGAATTCGAACTCGGCTCTCCGAATTCTCACTCCGAGCCAATATCCATTACACCACAATGCCTAACCATAGTCACATGACTGATTTTTAAAAATCCCATATTCATTTTCAGATTTTTTAAAAAAGACTATTTCTTAATAAAAAATATCCCTCTATGTTATTCTTCTCTTTAACTATCACTTTGTCGGAGTTAACTCCTCCCTCAGTCCGTTAATCCTTTCACCAGGGGTCTCTCTTCCCTGGCTATAAATAGCCGCTGACCCTTGGCCTCTATCTCTTTTTCCCTTCAGGCCTGTGCACTGACACCTTGAGGTAAACTCTCTTATTCCTAGAGGATTTTCAGCTATCAACCTCGAAATGTAATCGCTAACAAGGGATAGCGTGGAAAGACGCTAAGCACAATATTATTCACACTGCACGCACATACAGAATATTCACACGCACGCACATACAGAATATTCACACGCACGCACATACAGAATATTCACACACACGCACATACAGAATATTCACACATGCACGCACATACAGAATATTCACACACACTTAAATCCTTTGTACTGTTTCCATGTATTGTAACTTGTTATTAATATATATTTGTATATACATATATTATCGGTCTTGTTTTGTTTGCTTTCTTTACCTTCTACTTGATTATTTCTCTTGTTGTTGTCTTTGTTACATTTCATATTGTAAAAATTGTAGAGGGTCGGTTTTTATTTCTATTTATAACTAATACAAATTGGCTGACCCACTATAACTTTAAGTCTTATATATTGTTTGGTGTTAGAAAAAAGTAACAATTCAGTGGCTAAATATGGGCTGTATTAAACATGCTTCAACCTTCAAAAACTTCTTTCAACAACAGAACTCTTTCTTTTTACTACTCTTGTGGCTATTATGTTTCGGCTTGCCTATTCTAGAACTGGATGTGCAGGTGGTGTAATGGATAACAGCTTGGAATGAGAAAACAGAGAGCCGAGTTCAAATTCTAGTCTGGTTTGTTACATTCAATTATGCACAAATACCATTGGAAAAGGTATGAATCCGTCTTCTCCCCACAGTTATGGGTTAAATAGCAGGACAGACTGGCAACCAGTCTACCACAAAGAAATGGTAACCTCCTGTGAGAAAATCTGCCATGTTAGTCATGAATTGAAAGAGACCTGATCACCTGAGTGTGTATCACATATGACTCTTAACTGACTGACTCATCTTAGAACCAACTCTATGGCAGTGAATGCTGATCAATCTCATCACAGATGAAGACTTGAAGCAACAGAAATTTGGTTCTACAGAAGGATGCTGAGAATACTATAGACTGAACATATGAGCAACAACAAAGTTTTAAAGAAAAATGCAAACAAAAAGGACAATTAATTATATGTAATATCAGAAATTTTTTCTAGGGCACATAATGAGGAAAGTGGGCTTGGAAAATTTTATCCCCATCCCCAGACATATTGAAGTCAAGACGGACAAAAGAAAGCAGTGAATAACCTACCTATCAGGGATTGTGTAAATTTTTTTAAAGAGGACAAGGATTCAGAAAAATTTAGCAAAAAAGACAAATTTTACTAATGTCCACAAAAGACAGGAGTCTGTGGAGAGCCATGATTGCTCATGTCCTGAAGGTATATAGCACATAGAAAAAGAATTATTCTGGAACCTTCTTAAAATACACAATCCATATGGAAAGAAGGGTGTGTAGATGGAGAGTAGCATTTTTCCTGATAGAACCAACAAGAAATATATATTTTTTTTGTTATTAAAAAATACTTTTTTGCAGGTACAAGTTTCAAGACTAGCATCTCCATTTTAACAGCACATCTTTAAATTTTGACAAATTCATTTTTTTTTTTATTCAAGAAATAACTTTTTTCAAATGAAGCATTTCTGATTATTTTAGTGTACTTCTTTTTGTTTAAGCAGTGTTACCATTCAGTTTTAAATAAATATGCTGGGTGGGGGTGGGTTTAAATCATTCCTTTTTGGAGAAAAACTCACCTTGTAGATCTTTCAATCCAACCACTCCTTTTATTAAATATTTAAATGAAATGCCCTGTCCTTGAAAACTCACTGCCCAAATTAAAGGCTGGGAGGAAATTTTCTGAATATTTAATAAGAGAGGTGATTTGAATAAACATTACCTGGGTGGATTTTTCTCAAAAAAAAAAAAAAAAATAAATAAATAAATAATAATTGTCCTGGTGCATCTATTTCAAACACAGAGGTAATTAAAACATACCAAGCATTGTTCTGGTTATTGATTGCATTCTAATTGTTATTATCACAACATTTTGACCAATTCAATCTGTAGCCATTTCCAAGAGTACAATTCATGTGGAAATAGGTAAAGGAATGTCTTATTTTTCTTAGTATTTCAAATCAGAAAATGATGGCATACAGTAAAGAAATGGTAGCAAATATACAGACTGCACCAGAGCGTACACACACACACACACACACATATATATATATATATATATAGAGAGAGAGAGAGAGAGAGAGAGAAAGAGAGAGAAAAAAGGTTCATTTCTCATGAGGATTGTATATTTTAAGGTTGTTGTAGAATGGATCATATGGAAAACAGTAGCAACAAAAAAATGAATTATTAGGTTGGTGCAAAAATAATGATGTAAGAATGTCGTTTTTTGACGTTAAAAAATACGTCAAAAAACAACATTATTACGTCAATATTTTTGCACCAACCTAATAGATTGTATAACTCTTGAACTGTTAATGAGCCATCTCAAAATTTTAGAATATACAACCTGTCATCTAGCCAGATAGAATCATATTGAAACTTTAATCTTGTATCTAATTTATTGTCCATAAATGCCATATTTATTTATTTTTTGTCATCTAGCCAGATAGGATCGTCAATCAGTCTGTTAGTTCTAAATTCACTGGTGATAACAGAAAAATACTTTTCTTATATTATTGTTCAGTTTCATTTCATTTCTTGCATTCCAGTTTTATATAAATTGAAACACAAGGGAATTCTGGGTAATAAAGAATATGACACTTGTTTCAAATGGAATACACTGACTTTGTGTGCCATTTTATGTTTGTAAAAGCATGAATCAGTTCTAACTTAAATGTACAAATTCTTAATATGTAACATTTTTTGCACATGATAGGGTTGAATGAATAAAGTGTTGTGCCATCCTTAGCTATAAAAAGAGGATATGTTATTACAATAATATTTTATTAATTTGTTTTCTTTTTGTAAACAGAATGGAGATATATCTGTCAATATTAACTTTTCTTTGCAACATCAACTTTCAAAGACTGATATCAAATACTGATTGGATCATTTTCACTCAATAAACTTCAACTGTGCAAGACAAATATTTTCAAATAACCTCATGGATTTAAGCATTGGTTCCAGAATTTGGTGACATAGTAATTGTGAGTTCAATCCCTAGTACAGACTTAGTAGAAACAGGGCAAGCAATTACTAAGCAGTACTAAATAAGAACAAGATGAGTCAACTTTATATATAAACAGAGAATAATCTACACTGTTGATTAAATAAAGAGTTTATCTCAAAATTCCTTGAAGGTTGCACAGTAACAAGAACCAGAAGGGCACAATGGCCAAAATATTGAATAACAACAAAGATGAGGACAATAATCTGAATGTAAATAATGATAACATCTCAACCAAAAATTCAGACAGAAAAACAAATATTTAAATCTTGCTGTTTTTAACATGGGCAAGACAAAAACCTTTGACAATTTTTTTTATCAAGCATTTTAAAAATATCTTGTTGGAATAAAAAGAAAGTAAAGTTTTTGTCAGTAAAACAAGAAATAAAATGTATTTTCTAAACCTAATCTGTGTTGTTTATAGGAAATTTATTCAGTTTTTCATCTTCTCAAAAATACTGATATTGGAATAATTTGGATCATTTTACTTCAGTATAAATTAATTTACATTTTAGGACTAAATTTATTCATGAAAAAATAGCATTATGGGAGAGGAAGCAAGTTTGAAATTAGTGAAATCTGTCTTACTTAGTTTTGTATCACTCAGGAATTAATACCACACCCTGCTTAAGATACACAATGCAATGAATATTGCAAAGGTCCTAGCTTTTTATACAATAATAATTGAAAATGAAGGATGTTCAATTAGAGTAATTGTTATTCCCATAGAAATCCTGAAGGTTGCATTTAAGCATGAGACAGGATGTCACCGTTGGTTGATTTTATGGCTTATCAACACTTTGCAGGTTATTTAAATCTTGAAAACGTTTTTAGATTTTAAGAATTTTTTTTATAATGAACCCAACTGTAAGCGGAACTTGGCACTCTGATTAACAATTCTGAATCATTATTCATTAAATCACCCACATATCCAAGTTTACAGCACCCAGTATTTCCAAACAGTCACCCATCTAGGTACTAACCATGCTTGACATTGCTTAACTTTGGTGATCGTATAGGAATCAGTATTTCAATGTGATGTGACCAGAAGCCTTTTTTCTCAGTGTCCACTATAGAACAACCTTACCCATAAATATATAGCATACCTTAAAATTATATATATATAAAAATTTCAGATGTAACTAAAAATATACCTGTAATAGGACAATATGAATAAAGACGAAAGGAAAACTTATCTTAGCTGACGTGTTTTGTCCTCTGACGAACTTTATCAAGTCAATTTTTATTTTATTTTGCAATGAGTATTTATAAACAAAAAGTAAAAATGTTAAATTTTAAAAATATTTTAATTTAATAATGTTTATAAATAAATATACATCAGGCTAACTGAAAAGTCTAGGTAACTAACAGAGGATGCTAAGTGATGTAATTTAATATCAAATAAACTAAAATGAGAAAATATATATATATTAATCGATTTCACCCCAAGAAAGGCAGTAAAGCCACTAAGACACAATGAGTTACTGGGTATGGAAGAATTAGCAACAGAAACATTAATAATGAGTGGGAAGAAAAAAGTGTAATCAGGAGGACAGTAGATAGCGATTGATACTGCCTTTAAATTTTTACAGCTTAAAGTTGGCTGGAAACCATGGAGATGGATGGGAGTTCCGCAAGCAAGAAGTGCAAGAAAAGAAAATATTAGCATAGAATTTATGGCTACATCTAACTAGCTCAAATCTAAATTGATGAGATCTCAATGCCAGTCTAGTACTGTGCTTAAATTCAAAAAGTCTAGGTACCATAGCAAAGAGCTCATCCAAACAATGTCCATAAAAGTATTTATAGAAAAGGCCCAGGGAGGCAATCTTACTGTGGTGGGAAAGTGACTGAAGCCAAGACACCAGATCAGGACCTATAATATTGCTGATTCTTCTTTGGATTTTATCAAGGAGCTCAATGTAAATAGCAGTGTCACTGGATCATATGTGGCAGCAATATCTTAAATATGGATGAATGGCAGACTTATTAGATATGTATAATAGATTCTGGAGAGAAAGATTGTCTCGCACAACACAGTGAACCAACTTTTTTAGCAGCCAACCTAGCAATGGATTCAATATAGTCTTTCCACTTCATGTAAATTGAGAACGTTAGCCTGAGAATATATATATATATATATATATATATATATATATATATTAGTTAGGATAGTTGTAGATTCAGTCATCTGCTAAAGGTCCTGGAATATACACTCTACAGATAAGAGAATGGCTACTGTATACAGAATGCTACTGTCTAAAGTTATCATTATTTATGACTGAACTAATAATAAAGATGGTTATATTAGTCTGATTGTAACTAACTTACACAAGATTCAAGAAACCAAGAAAATAAGTTGTTTCTTTTTTTCCAATCATTTCACACAAGCAAGGCACTAAAGCTAGTAAGATGCAAGAGTTTACTGATGATGAGAGAATATGAGGGGGGGGAACAATTAAGGAGTGAGAGCAAAAGAAGACAAGATAATGATTGACATTGAAAGATCAAATTGACTGGGAAGCAAGCAGCCTAAAGAGACTTCTGCAAACGAGAAGTGCAATAGAAGAAACTGTTAGAATAAAACTTATGGTTATATCTAGCCATTCCAACTGTAAAATGATGAGACCTACTGGCCAATCTAGTACTGCACTTAAATTCATCAAGTCTAGGTGCCATAGCAGAAAGCTCATCCGAACAATTCCCGTGAAAGTATTTATAAAAAAAGGCACAGGGAAGCCACATTATGGTGGTGGGAAAGGGACTGAAGTCAAGATGCCAGGTCAAGACCAATAAAATTGCAGATTTTTCTTTGGATTTTACCAAGAATCTCTAAATGTATAGCAGAAGTAACAAACCAGATGTGGCGACAATAACTGAAGCATGGATGAATGGTAATGTCTAATTAGTCAGTGTAAGTTAATAAACAAATATTCACCCAAATGTGTTGTGGCTGATGGGAAAAGTAAAGTACAGATGTGTGGAGACAGGCATAACACCTACTAGTGGTAAGTGGCAAGATAATTCCTTAATGTTTGGCTATATCCCAGGAAATCTTGGCCACTTGCAACTTATTCCATGGGCAGAAAGCCAGTATTTCCATTTGTAATAGATTTGAACAAACCAAGATACTTATATCGTTTAGGTATTGTGGATTTTACGGACAACCAGCAGCAGGTGGGAGGGTCAGAAGACAACGTTTAATCAATCTTCTAGGGGGAAACAACACTGAAATACTGGATTTTAACTAAGATAAAGATTTATTTGTGTAGTAAGTAGTTATGGACATAAGGAGAATGAAAATTGGCCCACCTGTAACAGAAGTAGGTGTTCTCACCTAGGTAAAAGGCCAAGATTTCTAATGCTGATTTTCTAGGCAGTCACACCTTTCTCACAATCTTCCTACCTACACTCGACTTCAGGTCTGATGAAACTACTATATACTGTATCCCTTCAGGATGTGGGGCGATCATGGCTCTTTACAACTTCCTATCCTTTATTGCTTGAAGCAATGTTTTTCTTCTCTTTACTATCCCTCTCTTCTGTTCATTTATATAAACTTGTTAGGTAGGTTACTCAATGTTCAGTGTGTCTTGTGAGTGTCAAATTATCCAAGCCTCTTTCCTTATTATGTGCCCTAGAAATTTAAATGGTCTCTTTCTGACCCTAATACAAGTCTTCTTTCTATTCCCATTTTCCTTACAACTTCCTTGTTGCTTGTATACTCCGTCTATGCTATTTTCAACATCCTTTAAAAGAACCACATCCTTATTGTCTGGAGTCTTTTTACTTGTGAAGAAAGTGTCCAACATTCACTGACATATAGGAGGATTGATATTACAAAGCAATACAGCTTGGAGAATTTAACAGTCAAAGAACACAACTGACTGCAGGAACAGAGGGAAATGGTAAGTAACCTACTTACTAAGTAGGATGTAATAACAAGGACATATAATGAGGAAAAAGGGCCTAGAGAATTTAACACTCATATGAAATAGTGAATGCAAGAGAAACAGGAGGAAACAGTAAGTAACCTAATTAATGAGTTTGAGTGAACAGGTGCCAGAACAAGGACATATTAGGAGGAAAGAGGGCCTAGAGAATTTAACACTCACAGAACATATTGAAGGCAAGAAGAAAAGAGGGAAATAGTGAGTAAACTACCTAAAGAACTTGTGTAAGTGAATGGCAGAACAGGAATTGGGAGGGATGGTAAAAAGGTGAATCTTACTAAAAGATAGGATAGTTAGTTGTGGAGAGCCATAATTGCCCATGTTCTGAAAGAACACAGCAGCTACAATAAGTGTACATTGTAATTACTGAAATTAACAGTTTAAAAAACAATATTCATAAATAGCAGTATACAGGGTGGGATGGATAAATCGTCATCAAAATTAAACAAAAATAAAAATAACATCTCATTTTAACAGATATATTTACCAAAATTACACAAAAATATCTTGAAAAAACTAAAGAGTTAATTTATTCAATAAAATCGCCATTGGTTCACAACACAGCCTCCAGACGACTTCGTAATCTCCTGCAACTCTTCTGGACAATCTCCTTGTTTAAGGTGGTGAATGCTGCCATAATCCTTGCCTTCAGTTCATATTTGGTATTTATAAGAAGTTTTTGTTGGTCTCTCGCTCAACTGCACCCCATAGATAATAATCATAGGTTTGCACTTTGGGCAGTTAGGTGGCCAGATGTAAGGGGTTATGTGGTTGCAGAAATTGCCTGACAGCCATGATTGGGTTCTCCTGCTTATGTGGTATGGTGCAAAGATTGGTTGCCAAACATAGGGTCTTCCAGCTGCCACCCTCTTGACCCAGGGCAGCACTACCTCCTCAAGGCATTTGATGTAAGGTCTCTGTGTTGAGTCTGGGGACCTCACCAACAAATTTAGAAGTTCTTTTTTTATCAGAACAATTAGAGTGAATTTTCTGAGCTGCTGTACCTTCATAATCATCATTAGAATCATCCAACTCTTTTCAAATCCTCTGCACTGTCACCCAAACACTCTGAAATGTTCATATTGGAGCTGCTGGTATGAATGCCAAGCAGTACAGCATGCCGTTTCCAAATTTCTGGCAGAGTGAATTGTGTCATGGTGCTCTTTATCTCACTGATGGTCATCAAATGACCCTATTATACTGTGCAGTTGATAAAATCAAAAACAATGTGCAGTGCAAAATTAAAAATAGAAAATGGTGACAATTTACCCATCACACCCTGTGCATGTATTTGTGAATATTTATTTGTAAATATCTTATAGCTTATCATATGTGGCTCTTGCATTGAAAAGTTTTGGTCACTCTTGATATATATATATAGATATATATATATATATATATATATATATATATATATATATATATATCTTATATGATACTAGTATGGGTAAAATAGCAGGGTTGATTGGGATATCTAGACTTGGCAAATCTAGAAAAAGGACTACTTTGAATTTCAAACTGTGGAGATTGCAATGATAAACTACTCCACTATCTTTCCTAAGAATTCATGGCAATTCATAAATAATAAAGAAAAGGAATCTGTAGTGTGCCATGATCATCTACATCCTGAAGAAACATAGCATTAAAACAATCTCAGAACCTTAGGTGATATGGCACAATTAGTTGACAGTAAGTTACAAAGAATAAAAATCTTGAGTACTAGAGTAGCATTAAGAAAATAATGTCACTGTTACCAAGTTAACAAAGATGGTATAGGCATTGCTACATGATGTAGCAAGCTCCTGTAGGATGAGAGATAAATTTGAATCTTCTTTGTAGTTATTTCTTTGTGCAAAATTTTCAGAATTTTAAGGCCAGAAAATATATTTCTGTGATTTCAAAACGAAAATCGTAAAATGACATTAGATTTGTGCCAAATATATATGCCCTCCACCATCCTACCACTCGCTATGAAAAAAAGGATTATATACAAAAAGACATCAAGTCAGAAATGTTTTTATAAAATTGATAAGTGAAAAAAAAAAAAATGATTATTTATTAAATTTTTTTCACAAGGCAAGTCAATCATTGAAC